AAGTGGTGCAAATGGCTGAATCCCACCACTGCTCCCAACCCTTCTTGGAACATCACAGTCCTGTAAGTAGAAAACGAACATCTAACAAGTATCAAAAAGAACCAGTTGTTAAAACATCTGGTCAGCCGTAAAATGTGTTTAAAATGCTCAATTATGGATCGCTGCGCCATCTGTCGGTTGAATCCAGTTGTTGCGGCTATAAGTCATAGATCAGTGATGGCGAACCTTTTAGAGACCGAGTGCCCAAACTGCAACCCAAAACACACTTATTTATTGCAAAGTGCCAGGGCCGCATCAGCATTGTGGTGCCCTTGGGGGGAGCAGGGTGGGCATGGGCGCTAGGTGGGCATAGCTGCGGTGGTCACGGCAGACTGGGTGGGTGGGCTGGGACCAGGGTGGCAGGGACCAGTCCCTCGCCATCCCCAGGGGGCCAACGCCGCTCACTTCCTGCCCCGTCGTTTCCAAACGCCACGTGCTCGCTACTCTGGCGAACTTTGCTGGGGCGATGGCGTGTGTGCCCACAGAGAGGGCTCTGAGTGCCACCTCTGGCACACGTGCCATAGGTTCGCCACCACTTCATAGATCTTTTACTCCAGCCAAGTCTAGGGTGTTCAACAACACAGTTAGGTTCTCCTGCTTGAGCAGGGGGCTGGACTAGAAGACCTCCGAGGCCCCTTCCAGCTCTACTCTGATTGCAAAAATATTTAGTGGGTCTCAAAGACCCTCGGTCAACCGTGTTGTTAAATTATTTAATACTAGTTGTGGTAAGACCTTCGTCCCTTCCGAGGGTATTTTCTCCTAGTTTCCCTTTTAGAGATGTTTTACAAGATGTCTACCGTAGAGGGTGGGTATTCTAATCGATCTTACCCAAGTTTACGAAGAAGGTTTACAACCAAATGTAAATTGGCAACTGGGACATACTATCATATGTGGTGGGAGTGCCCACGAGCCCGTGATTTTTGGAATAAGGTTAAAAAATGGCTGGAAGAAATTTTAATGCTAGTGGTAGAGTTAAAACCAGAACTCTTTTTACTAGGCATAACCATGCAGAAATATGACAAAGGGGTATTCTATTTGATGTTACACATTCTCACTGCTGCTAGATTGGTATATGCTCAAAACTGGAGGAATAAAGGAATTCCAACAGAAGAAGAGATTTTATATAAAATTTTATCGTGTGCTGAAATGGATAGGCTCACAATGGAAATGAAGGATAAGACAGAATCAGACTACTTTGAAATCTGGGACAAATTTTATTACTGGTATGAATTAAGGAGAACTGCTCGGGCTTCAAGCTACTGTTAAGACAGAAATACTTATAACTGTATATATAATTGTATTGTATAGAAGAATAAATTTATTTAGAGATTAAGAATGATGTATTAATTATATGTATTACAAGGAACAAATTGTTAGGAACATTTATTCTGGAATGTCACGTTATGTCCATTTTTGTTTTAACTGTATTATAAATAAAAAAACTTTTTTTAAAAAAAAGAGGATCAAGGGAACCAAAGTCACCAGAAGAAACGTCAGTTTGTTCACTCAAAAAGTTAGAAATTAAAGCGGTTTAGTACTGAAAGCTAGAGCATCTTTTTCATGAGTAATGCTCATGGGCCGTCTATTAATAATCATATGTGGAAGACAAAATTCTTTTTATCCGCCATGCCTCCCTTATCTTAGAAATTAAATGGGGTTTTTTTTGGGGGGGGGGGAATGTTAGATCTGATACCCTCTGCCTGAGATTGTTTGCAAGCAAATATTTTATGTACCATCGCCAGCCTGTCACTTGTCCCCTTATACTATTATCTCTGCATTTGGAAGTTTCATGTGGCCAGCATGCCTTCAGGTGAATAAAGAGGTTTACAGAATAAGCCATAAAGCGGCGGTAGTAAGCAGGCTAGTTTATGCTATTATGGAAAAGTAAAAAAAGTCGAGGTTTGGTGTTAATGCTTTATTCTCCTGCAACACTTTTTCCCCTTCCCCAGTGTCCTATTTGCTTTTGTACTTTTGCATTTTATTCCATAATCCAATAAAATGTTACAAACCGTAAAAAAAAAAATACATAACAAAAAAAAGTGGTGGTAGTAAACAGATTATGATGTGGGGGGAAAAAACGAAGATGGAAAATCCACTCAGTCCCACTAAAATAATTTGGTTGCCCTAAATGGAAATCAACTTAAGTGGAAAGAAAATTACCTTCATTATGAACTGGGATTGTGCCAACACTTCACCCCCCCTTCCCCAATTTATAATATATTTACAAGGCTGAAAAAAAAAAGCCAGCGACGCAGCCAAGATGGAGACCCTTCATGATGTGGGACCACAGCTCTTTGCAACTTTTTTTTTTTATTATATTTTTCTCTACAACGGCATATACACCATGGCTCTGAGTTGATAAAAACAAGGGTATGACAGAATAAATAAGCCCAGGAGGGGAGGTTTGTCTCTTCCAAAAGACAGAAAAAAGGGTCCACTAAAGGGATGCCAGGTCAGCCTCTCCTCCACCTGCCCAGCCAGCCACTGGCTACAAACGGGGTCTCGGCCTCCGCTCCCCCTGCCCTTTGCCCTGGCTCCTCCCAGGAGACCACCCGCCACGGGACCCCTCACTGCAGGAGAATTTAACAATCCTATTTATTTAAAATAAATTAAAAAAATATTTTAATTTTTGTCACTGTGAATGTCAAAAATTAAACTTTTTTTTTAAAATTTGTTTTAAATAAATTTCATTCTGTCCCTCCTCCTTCGGCATCTTTCCTTTCATGATTCTATGCCACCATTTCTTCTACATTCATTAAGTCTTGTCCCGTTGTCCACAGCAAGTTGTCACAGACCCCTCCCGGGAACATCTAGGAAAACTTCAGCTGTCCCAGAAAAACATTCCCTTTGACTGAAACGGAAACGCTTGAAAGAAAGCCGCACAACGATGAGGTGTGGGTAACAAGCAGCATTAAAATTAACCCGCAGCCCTCTTAAAATAGGAATCCGGCCTTCTCCGCTGAGGCTTTGGGAAATCATGCAGGAAGCCAAGGCCTTGAAGGGGGAAGCTCTGCAAAATTAGAGTTTCCTTCATTCTGTCTCGGACCAGACTCCCATCGGGACAGTTCTGGCTGCGCGGAGGTTTTCCAGGACTTCCACGTTGGAGGCTCAAACACCCGACTGGCTGAAGAGGTGGGAAGAGGAGGCTGAGTAGCTGGACTCGGAAAGCTTCCAACTGAAACACACACACACACACACGCACAACTCAGAACACATACATAAATATATAAATTAGCCGTGCAACGGACAATGCACTGCCCCTCACGCTCGCTTACACGTGTGCAAAGTATGACGCCACCTTCATTTAGTCCTCAGAAAAGGAAGGGAAAAAAAATGCAGAGAAAAAGATCTTTGGAGTTGCATTATGTACAAAAACTGAAAATATAGATTATCATAATATAGATATAGATATATATATATATGATTGATTGATAGATCTTTTGTTCTCTGTACAGGATTGGCTGGAAATACTTTTTAAGGGGGGTGGAAATACAAGATTTAAAGTGTAAAAAAATACATGGTAACAGCAAGAGCCTACAGACCGGGCAATCCCCGGAAACCACCAGTTAACGGCAACCGGATGGTGGGATTTTGGAAGGCAGCCTGGCAGACGGTCCCTTGGCACCTGAGCCCACCCCAGGGGTATGGAAAGCCAGCTTCAAAGGGGGACACACCCCCTGCAAGTCCACTCCAGGCAGGCCTTGCCAGGTGCCCCATCCGAAATCCTAAAAAGTCCACCCGGCGCGTTCCCAAGGCTCCCTTCGGTGGCCCGATGGCAGTTCTGGTTGGATTCTAGAAAATCTGAAGCTAGGAGTGTCCGAGAAGAATTGTCTTCTGTTCTGGGGGTGGCAGTCGTGCTTCACCGAAGTCGGGGTTCAAACTTTGCACCTCACAGCTCAAACCTCTCCGGCAAGATATCCTTGGCAACTTTTTCGCCCCAGGACAAGGCGAGCATCCCGTCTCTGCGTAGAGATTTCCAAAAGGGAAGGCTCAGCTGGAGGGGGCACGGATGAGCAAAGAGGGCAGACGCTTCCCGGCCTGCCCGCGGGACTTCTGCCTTCTCCTGGCTGCCTATGGGAATTTCCCCCAAGGAGGAGGAACAGAAAGCAGTGGAATTTTCTGCGTAAAACTCAGAATTCCCTTGTTACACCTTCAAACCTCTAAAGAGGCTGCTGGCCTTTTATAAGTACAGAAAATACACTTTGGGAGTTAGTGAAAAAAACTGGTTAGGGAAAAAAAAACCCTGCTCCTTCCCCACAACAGAGCTCTGAAAATACAAGAACCTGCAAAACATTCACATTGGCCTCAATTGGTCTAGCCAGCATCCTTTAAAAAAAAAAAATGTTTGTTTTAATGCAAGGAGGAGCCAATTTCCAGGGTCCCGCCAAATGTTCCCGATTCAAAACACGTTAGCCTTCGAATCCTCCAACGTGGAGCTTAACGCGGCCTTCAGATTTGGTCAGCAGGCTCCCGATCCAATGAACGTGTGCCAGGCTTGACCCAGGCTGGTCCTGACTGCTTGTTCCGAGTTCAAGCCGTGCAGAATTTCAAATGCCCCCCCGAGGCTCCCATCTGCTGCAGTCATCCAATCCTGCCCACCTTAAACTGGGTTCGCACAGCTAAGCAAAAGTCCAGGGTTCTGTAACTTGGGACATATAACAGAAGGTTGAATTCCCGCTTAGCCCCTGCTCCCATGACCCAAATTCAGCGGTGATTCTTCGGATTCAGAGACGGAGCCCTCTGCAATCCACAAGGACCGAAAGCGTGGCTTCCGGGAGAGTTTCCAGCTTTAAAACTGCCCCGATTTTCCAGGCTCACTCTAGGACGACAGCGGTCACCAAGGAAAAACCCTCCGCCATGCCTCTTCCCCTCTTCTCAGCTGCCGACATGTTGCCTCAGTCGCCAAAACTTCTTCCTTCCTCCAGAGGGGAAGGGAGTCCCAGAGGGTGTGCCCCCCCCCTTTAGTCCAGAGAGATGATGTCCGGCCGACACCCTGGCAGAGCCGGGCTGCTCCCCATGGCCCCGTGGCTCTCCCGCAAGCTGGCCGTGGGTGAAGAGACCACGCTGTTCATGCGGCTGCCGGTGGGGGAGCCGACCCCATTGTGGGATCCCACCACAATCGGAGACAGGGGGCTCATGAAATGCGGGGAGGGCCCCCGATACTGGAAAAAATGGCTCAGGGACTCCTGTTCGTCCGAGGAGGTGATCACGGAGGGCCCGTAGTGCTGCAAGAGGGAAAGATTCGTTAACAATAAGGACAATTTTTGTCTTCTGCCCTTAGCGCACTTGCTATGCCCGAGTCCTTGGGCTGAAGGAGAGGGAACTACAGGTAGTCCTCAACTTACCAGTCTGTTTAGTGACCGTTCAAAGTTACAACGGCACTGGAAAAAGTGACTTAGGACGATTTTTCAAACTTATGACTGTTGCAGCGTCCCCATTGGTCACATGATCAAAATTCAGACGCCTGGCAGTGGGCTCATATTTATGACGGTGATCCCCTTTTGCGTCCTCCTGACCAGCAAAATCAAGGCGGAAGCCAGGTTCACTTTACAACCGTGTGACTAACTTCTCAACTGCAGCGATTCACTTAACGATCATGTTACTAACTTAACAAGTGCCGGGATTCACTTAACAACTGTGGCAAGAAAGGTCGTAAAATGGAGCAAAATTGACTTAACAAATGTCTCACTTAACAACAGAAACTTGGGGCTCAAATTGTGGTCGTAAGTTGAGGACTACCTGTAATCACAGGCCATTCTGGTGCTGCCTGGCTTTTCAACTTTGGTGTACAGCCGTGGTGGCACAGTGGTTAGAATGCAGCACTGCAGGCTACTTGTTGACTGCCCACTGCCAGCAGTAAGGCAGTTCGATCCTGACCAGCTCAAGGTTGACTCAGCCTTCTGTCCTCCCAAGGTCGGTAAAATGAGGACCCAGATTGTTGGAGGCAAGAGGCTGACCCTGTAAACTGCTTAGAGAGGGCTGCAAAGCACCGTGAAGCGGTATATAAGTCAAAGTGCTAATTCTACTCTATTCTATTCTATTCTATTCTATGTTCTGTTCTATTCCCATTCTCTATTCCATTCCATTCCTTGTTCTATTCTATTCTATTTTCTATTCTATTTTCTATTCTACATTCTATTCTACATTCTATTCTATATTCTATTCTATATTCTATTCTATATTCTATTCTATTCTATTCTATTCTATTCTATTCTGTTCTGTTCTGTTCTGTTCCCATTCTCTATTCTATTCCATTCCGTTCTATTCTATTTTCTGTTCTATTCTATTCTGTTCTAGTCTATTCTATTCTATTCTTTGTTCTATTCTGTTCTATTCTATTCCCATTCTTTATTCTATTCCATTCCATTCCATTCCGTTTTATTCCATTCCCTGTTCTATTCTATTTTCTATTCTATTTTCTATTATTCTATTCTATTCTATTCTATTCTATTCTATTCTATTCTATTCTATTCTATTCTATTCTATTCTATGTTCTGTTCTACTCCCATTCTCTATTCTATTCCTTTCCATTCCCTGTTCTATTTTATTCTATTTTCTATTCTATTTTCTATTCTCTTCTATTCTCTTCTTTGCAACTGCTATTCTGGAGTCTGAGTCTTGCAAGTCTGAAGAAGCTTGAAGAGCTGTAAAAGCAAGCTTGCTGGGTTACCAAGGCAATTAAACGCAGAGAAAAAAAACCCCTCTATTTTAATGGCCACGCTGTGGATTTCGTGAATGGTTGGTTGGGAGACGGAAGGGAAGAGAGAAAACATACCTGATTTTCACTTTGAAGAAAGGAAAACAAATCCAGACCTAGAGAAACAGAAAGGGGGGAAAATAACTTAATGCTAAAAATGAATGTACTGGAGGGAAGGAAAAGATTTATAAAAAGACAGGTAGTCCTCGACTTACAACAGTTCGTTTAGTGACCGTTCAAAGTTACGATAGCAGCAAAAAAAGTGACTTAGGAGTGTTTTTCAGTTCTGACCTTTCCAGCATCCCCATGATCATGTGATCAAAATTGAGATGTTTGGCAACTGACTCATATTTATGACGGTCGCAGGGTCCTGCGGTCACATGACCAGCTTTTGAAACCTTCTGACAAGCAAAGCCAATGGGAGTAAGCCAGATTCACCTAAGAACCGGGTTACTAATTTAACAACTGCAGTGATTCCCTTATCACTGGCAAGCCAGTCGCAAAATGGAGCAAAACCCGCTTAACGAATTTCTCACTTAGCAACATAAATTCTGGGCTCAATTGTGGTCATTCTCCAAAGCACCAGAGGGCAGGACAAGAAACAGTGGTTGGAAAGTGACCAAGGAGAGAAGCAACCTGGAATTAAGGAGAAATTTCCTGACAGTGAGGACAATTAACCAGTGGAACAGCTTGCCACCAGAGGCTGTGGGTGCTCTGTCACTGGAGGCTTTTAAGAAGAGTCTAGACCAGGGGTAGGCAACCTTGGCTCTTTTATGACTCGTGGACTTCAACTCCCAGAATTCCTGAGCCAGAAAAGGGTCAAGGTTACCTATCCTTGGGCTAGGCAGTCTCTTGTCTGAGATGGCATAGGTTGTCCTGCTTGAGAGGGGGCTGGACTAGAAGACCTCCAAGGTCCCTTCCAGCTCTATTCTATTCTATTCTATTCTATTCTATTCTATTCTATTCTATTCTATTCTATTCTATTCTATTCTAATCCTATTTCTATTTCTATTTCTATTTCTATTTCTATTTCTATTTCTATTTCTATTTCTATTTCTATTTCTATTCCATTCCAGACTAGACTAGACTAGACTAGACTGTATACTCTTGGAGAAACAATGATCCCGGGGCCATTCTTTGCTAACTAACTAAAGCGAGATGGATGGCACTGGGGGTCTTCAGAGGTAGCTAACATCCACAGGACAGAGGTGCAATATCTGGGCTTGCTAACCAGACAAGGGCCTGGGCCCCTCTGAGAGCTGTGTTCACACGAGAAGCTGAAACCCGTCCAAGACCAAGAAGCCACAATACCACTAAGACAGGTGAGCTTTACCTCTGATTCTGTCAGGTCCCTGTTGGAGAACCCTGCCATTATGAAGGGAGGAGGGGAGCGCTTTGGGGGAATCTAAGATGGTTCTATATTGTTTCTACTTCTGCTCTGATGTATCTGCCTGGGAATTGGGGAGGGGGGGGAAGAAGCCCTCAGGGCCCCCTGGTTTGGCTCCTCTCTTCCCCTCAGAGTTCTCACAACAACTTTGCACCATCATCAGCTTGGCTCCTGATGGACTGGGACACTGGGGAGGGGAGGAATTTCAGATTCGGCTCGTCTTCCCTGCAACCACTTTCTCTCAGTAAAAGATCCTTTGGAAATAAGGCCTGCTTCAAGAGTAGCTGGGGCAGGACCTTGCAGATTCCTTTTCTTCTCCCGTTCCCCCCAGTTTAGGGAAGAGAGCCCGAGCTCGGGGCCACCTGGTCCTGCTTACCTTGAATGTCTGAAGGGACCGGGTAAGAAGGGTGGTACTCTGACAGGGGGAGGCTGGAGAGGAATTCACTGCCCATCGCAGCCATTGAGGGGCTCCGCAGCACCGAGGAGGTCTGGTGGTCTGCGTTCAAAACCCTGAAAGGGAATGAAAGCTTAGCAGAGCTGGAAAGCCCTTCGGTTCTTGGGGAGACAAGGGACATTTGCAGCAGCCTTTGGGGGCCAGTTCTACTTCTTCTGGGGGACTGAGGGTCACAAGCCAGCGGGAAGAGGAGGAGCTGGGGAGTGCCACTTTTATTATTATTATTATTGAATTTTGGAATTTGGGCAGTTTTCAGCAACTGTACTCAGATAATATTCCAAAGAATTACAGAGAGAAAGATAAACTGCCAGTCAAACCCTCCCCCCCCCCAGAAAGGGCCTGGGTCTTCCAAAGAAGATTACCTTCCAAAGATTAAATTCCGCAGAATGTTATCCAACAAGAAGGCTCAACTGGGCCATGCAGCTGCACATCCAGGCTTTAAACATTAATCCATTTTATATTACGATTTGATGGATCAAGGCCACTTCATAGGTAATGATGGGGGAAAGGGGGGGAAAGACAGAGGGGGGCAGTGAAAGCAGAAGACCCAGGCCCTGTTCAGAAGGACTGAGAGGCAATTTATCTCTCTCCCATGATAAATACATTAACCTGATGAATTAACCAAAGAAAGTTCATTTAACTCTTAAAAATAAAAAACCTCGAATACACAATCCTGAGCCATTATGAACACAAGCTAGTCTGTTTCACCTTCCTGGACCTCCCAGAAAAAGAGCCAGAAAGAAAGAGAAGCTAAAAAGGGAAGTCTTTCTAGGACAGGGCTCTTTTATGACTCATGGGCTTCAACTCCCAGAATTCCTGAGCCAGCCACGCTGAGGGGAAAGGGAGAGGTTTCCAAGCTGAGCCATGCTGGCTCAGGAATTCTGCGAGTTGAAGTCCACAAGTCATGAGGGGGCCAAAGTTTCCCTCATGCTGGCTCAGGAATTCTGGGAGTTGAAGTCCACGAATCATAAAAGAGCCAAGGTTGCCTATCCCTGGTCTAGGATGCTCACCGCTTAGAACAGGAGGACTTAGGCCAGAGGTAGGCAACCTTGTCTCTTTTATGACTCGTGGATTTCAACTCCCAGAATTCCTGGCTGGCTGGGGCAGGGTTAGGCAACCCTGGCTCTTTTATGACTGGTGGACTTCGTCTCCCAGAATTCCTGAGCCAGCTTGGGGGAACTATGGCCCCTTCATGACTGGTGGACTTCAACTCCCAGAATTCCTGAGCCAGCCATGCTGAGGGGAAAGGGAGAGGTTTCCAAGCTGAGCCATGCTGGCTGAGGAATTCTGGGAGTTGAAGTCCACGAGTCATAAAAGAGCCAAGGCTGCCTACCCCTGGTCTAGGAGGCTCACCGCTTAGAACAGGAGGATGTAGGCCAGGGATAGGCAACCTTGGCTCTTTTATGACTCGTGGACTTCAACTCCCAGAATTCCTGAGCCAGCCATGCCTACCCCTGTTCTAGCACAAAGCTCCTGTCGATTTCCCGCCGATGAGAACAATTAATCGAAGGAACAGCTTGCCTCCAGAAGTTGTGGGTGCTGTGTCACTGGAGGTTTCCCAGAAAAGACTGTGCAGCCCTTTGTCCCAGATGGACCCCTGCCTCGGGCAGCGGGTCAGACTAGAAGACCTCCGAGATCCCTTGCGGGCCTAGGATTCTACATCCCAAGAGCCTTCCCATCACCATGTCTGGCTCAAAGAAATCGGGCCAAGCCAGAGGAAGGAAAGGTCTCAGAGCCAACAGCCCTTCCTACCATTTTGGTCCGGCTGCTGGCGGGATGGCTGCAATGGCGACAGAACACACTTTCTTGGCCAGGAGTTCCTCGTCGTCCGAAGAGCTGTCCAGGGTCAAGTCAATCACCTCCACCTTCTTCTTGTTTTCGGCCAGTGGCTTTCCCTCTGAACTTACTGTGTACAGGGAGGCTGCAACAAAAACAATGGCAAGGCTCGGAAACTGGCTTCAGACAGACAGCCTTGCGCATGGCACAATCCCTGGTACGCCACGATGCTCAGTCATCAGCCACTGAGACACCACGGAGGAGCCTCCGTGTGCAGAAGGGGGGCAAACTGAGTATGAGCCAGCTGCCAAAAAAGCCAACTCAGTGCTGGGCTGCATTAACAGAGGGAGAGAATCAAGATCACGTGAAGTATTAATACCACTTTACAAGGCCTTGGTGAGGCCACACTTGGAATACTGCATCCAGTTTTGGTCACCACGATGTAAAAAAGATGCTGAGACTCTAGAAAGAGTGCAGAGAAGAGCAACAAAGATGATTAGGGGACTGGAGGTTAAAACATATAAGGAACGGTTGCTGGAATTGGGTATGTCTAGTTTAATGAAGAGAAGGACGAGGGGGGACATGATAGCAGTCTTCCAATATCTCAGGGGCTGCCCCAAAGAAGAGGGAGTCAAGCTATTCTCCAAGGCGCCTGAAGGCAGGACAAGAAACAATGGATGGAAACTAATCAAGGAGAGAAGCAATCTAGAACTAAGGAGAAACTTCCTGACAGTTAGAACAATTAACCAGTGGAACAACCTGCCTCCAGAAGCGGTGAATGCTCCAACACTGGAAGTTTTTAAGAAGAGACTGGACAGCCAATTTGTCTGAAATGGTATAGGGTTTCCTGCCTGAGCAGGGGGTTGAACTAGATGACCTCCAAGGTCCCTTCCAACATCATCATCATTATTAGTATTATTATTATTATTAGTATTATTGTTGTTGTTTTGTTGTTGTTATTATTATTATTATTATTATTAAGATGCCTCTCTGCTCCTGGCACCACAGCACACACACACACACACACACACACACACACACACTAGCCAGGGCCCTCCTTTCGCGCCCAAGAGCCATGGCCATCGCGTCAAAGCCGAGCCTCCATACCTTCCAGTCCATTGTAAGCGGACGGCTGGCAAACTTCCTGGTTCTCCTTCTTGGGCTTCATGGGGCACCAGGAACCGTCTTCCATGAACTGGATCTCATCGCAGTCCGTAACAGAGTTGAGGATCTCCATGAACAGCCTGGGGAGGGGAGCAATTCAGAAGGAGGGATAGTTGACAGACAGCTCTGGAGAGGAACTGAGGCGTGAAGCTTCTCAGAGACCCGGAAGTCGTCCCAGGGGTGGCCGTTCCGTCGCAGAGAGCTCCCTCCAACTTCTTACGAGCGGTGGAACGTTCTCCACTCGGTATAGTGGAAAGGCGTGTGAACACTCGGGTACGGACTTTTTGGGAACGTTCAACAACCCTAAACCGAGGTGTCTCAATATACGTTCGGTGCCAAATTCCGAAGTGTAACAGGTACTTGTCAGTCAAAGGTGTGATTTGACACCAAGGGCAGGTATTTCTGTTTATGTGTTACACTGCAATAGCTCCGTCTCGTTCAGTGTTTTTCGAATTTAGAACAGAATAGAGCTGGGAGGGACCTCGGAGGTCTTCTAGTCCAGCCTCCTGCTCAAGCAGGAGAACCTATACCAGTGGTGGCGAACCTATGGCACGGGTGCCAGAGGCGGCACTCAGAGCCCTCTCTGTGGGCACGCGCGCCATCGCTCCAGTCCTAGGCCTTCCGCTGGGTTTTATAAAACCTTTTCACTTTAGGCCTCCGCCGCCGTGTGCAAAAAAAAAAAAGGTTTGATCAATCAGTCAATTTCAACTTCTCGCGGGAAAAAAAAGATCTTGCAAACTTGGAATGATTGATTGAACATTTTAGTCCCACCCAGTCTGCCGTTACCACCACAGCCACGCCCACCCAATGGGCCACAGCCCCCAAATTGGCCACACCCAGCCAATGGACCACACCAACCCGGCACCCGACAATGCATAAGTGGGTTTTGGGTTGCAGTTTGGGCACTTGGTCTCTAAAAGGTTTGCCATCACTGACTTATACCATCTCAGACAAGTTATTGTCCAGTGTCTTCTTAAAAATCTCCAGTGATGAAGCGCCCATGGTTTCTGGAGGCCAGCTGTTCCACTGGTTAGTTGTCCTCACTGTCAGGAAGTTTCTCCTTAGTTCCAGGTTGCTTCTCTCTTTGGTCAGTTTCCAACCATTGTTTCTCGACCTTCCATCTAGTGCTTTGGTGAATAACATGACTCCCTCTTCTTTGTGGCAGCCCCTCAAATACTGGAATACTGCTATCATGTCTCCCCTATTTCTTCTTTTCTTCAGACTAGCCAAACCCAAGTCCTGCAGCCATTCTTCATACGTTTTGGTCTCCAGGCCTTTGATCATCTTAGTTGCTCTTCTCTTGAATTTTTTTCCAAACTCTCAACATCTTTTTTGTGATATGGTGACCAAAATTGGCTGCAGTATTCCAGGTGTGGTCTTACTAGGGTTTTATAAAAAGCAGTAGTAATATGTTGCGTGATCTTGATTCTAGGCCTCTGTTTATACAACCCAGGATTCTATTAGCTTTTTCGGTTTTATTACATCAGAGTTTCTCAACCTTGGCAACCTGAAGATGGTTGGACTTCCAACTCCCATAGCTGGCTGGGGAATTCTGGGAGTTGGAAGTCTACCCATCTTCAAGGTTGAAAAACACTGTATTACATTTGTAATGACTGGTTTGTGGCTTGTTAACAAAGCACAAGGATCTCATTTTTCCTGTCTTTTTTCCAATAGCCCATCGCCCGTGGGCGAATATACAAGAATTATTAAAAAGGAAGTTAAGAAGGAGCTATTCTGGGCAGCTTACCGAGAGTAAAAATGGTAAATATGAAATAAAATTAAAATGACGAAGAGTTACAAAATGGCCCAAGGCTAAGGTCTTCTTATTCCATCCACCACCTCCAGCAAAGAGCGCCCCCATGAAGGCACCAAGCCGATCAACAAAATCAGATGTTAAGACTCTTCCACAGGGGTCCTCAAACTTGACCACTTTAAGACTTGTGGACTTCTGATAAAGTATTTTTGTTGGGTATTTTGGAAGACTTGGATGCAAAAGAAATGGAATTGATGTTGAACTTTATAACTGCTGCAAGACTACTAGTAGCTCAATATTGGAAAACGGAATGTTTGCCCACTATAGAAGAATGGTCACTTAAAGTCTCGAACCTAGCAGAAATGGCCAAGATTTCCACTTATGTGCTATTCACAAGAAAGATATATTTTGGTTTGGAGAAGATGGATAGATTATACTGAGCGTAAATATGGGACCAAAAAATATCATTTGGTTTTTGAGTGAATTTTAGAGTATTATTGTTGTATAAAGGTTAGAATAGGTTATTTTGTACTATTTTTGATTATTAAAGTGATGTTATTATTATTGTTTTTAATAACTGTATATATTTGTTTAAAAGAGAGTTAAAGGAGGTTATAGATATGTTATTTTAATAGTTGATTAATGTTATTTAGAGTATGATTATTTTATTGTTAACCCTGTGATTGGCACTGGGAAGTGAGGGGGGAGGGAGGGGGGAGTGGAAGGGTGGGTTGGGGAAGGGGGGATTTATATTGTAAAATTTTATAAAATTTTCAATAAAAAAAAAAAGACTTGTGGACTTCAGCTCCCAGAATTCCCCAGCCAGCATGAGCAGACCCCTGCTCTTCCAGATTTCACCCCCAACAGCAGAATGATCCACAGAGCGGGGGCCACAGCAGAAAAGGGCTCTTCTCTTCAATAGCCCCCTCCCAGGCTAAAACGTCTTAACGGACAAGGTCTGCAGCAGGTGCCGTCTGCCGAAGCCAGTGGGGCGAGCTCGTCTCAATTGTAGTCATAACTCAAGGATTACCTGTAGATGTTCAACCTTCCTTTTTCTCCAAATTGCACCCCGACGTGGAGTGACTCCTCTGAGTCACCCCAGATCCCTCATCAACTGCACCTTAGTGACCCCCTAGACATGCTTAGGGGCCCTAGGCGTGCACCTCAGGATCTGATTGGCTATAGAGTTTTTGAAGCTATCCCCCCCCGCCCCAAATTTCATGGGTGGCAAGACACCCCCCTAGGCCTGCCAGTTAAAAGGGGTCTGACATCTGGAATCACACACTTGGAACACTGCATCCAGTTTTGGTCACCACATTACAAAAAAAAGATGTTGAGACTTTGGAAAAAGTGCAAAAATAAGAGCCATGAAGATGATTAAAGGCCTGGAGACTAAAATATATTTAAAAAATGGTTGCAGGAATGGGGTATGTCTAGTTTAATGAAAAGAAGGACCAGGACTGACATGATAGCAGCCTTCCAGTATTTGAGGGGCTGCCCCAAAGAAGAGGGAGTCAAGCTATTCCCCAAAGCGCCTGAAGGCAGGACGAGAAGCAACGGATGGAAACTAATCCAGGAGAGAAGCAACCTGGAACTAAGGATAAATTTTATGAGTGAGAGCAATTAACCAGTGGAACTCCTTGCCTCCAGAGGGCAGGACAAGAAACAATGGGTGG